ATTCAGGAGTGCAATCCCTGTCCCCAGGAGTTTGACACATTCACGGGTGCAGAGATGCCACGGGGGGAAGCACAAGGCTGGGAGGGAACCTGGGCTGTGCCAAACACCCAGCCTGAAAGCAGGAGGAATGTTTTATCTGGGTTTTCTGTTTCAGCTCATTCACCTTCCAGAGAAGGGACATTGCTTCTGATCCACCTGTGTTTCCACAGGCCATTTATCCAACCAAGATGTGCCTGTGTGGTCAGAATAAAATAAGCTTCATGAAGACACACACTGGCATTTCCTAGTTTGAGAGATTCCCTTTTAGTCTGAAATTATTTCCTATTTCCTTTCCCCATATTTCCTTTCCCCTTGTTTAAACCCTGGGGTGAGGCTGGAAGGAATGGAGACAAAGCAATCCCACCAAACCCCTTTAATCCCTGTCATGGAGCCAAGTGGTGTTCATTCACTCCTGAGCTTTCTTTGGAACTTCATTTCGCTTTTCAAAACCTCCCAGCAATCTTTCACTAGTCAGCAGGTGCATTTCTCTCTGAAAGCATTTCCATCAGATTGGAGCAGAGATTTGGGGTTAATCCCTCTGCCCACAGAGCCCTGTGGCACAGACATGACCCTCACTGCTTTTGAGATGAATGGGAACCCAGTGGGATACAGAGAAAGAAATAATTCTAATTATTAGTTCATGTATAAAATATCTTTTCTCCAGCAACACCTTCCTGGAGAAAAATGTAACTTGTTTCCTAGCAAAAACACCCCAAACAAACCAAAAATAAACCAAAATGCTCAGATCTTTCATCTTCTGGCCTTTCCCCTTTTTCATTCCACAACTGCAGTAATGCTGCTGCTGCTGCATACATAACTCTGATTTTAAAAACTTGTTTGGTTTTAATGCCCCTAAAATTCTACAACAGAATTTCTTTTCTAAACCCTAAACACGATCATATTCTCATTTCTTGCTGTTTGTGAGAGGGACACAAAGCAACACAGGTCCCAGCTGAACAGAAATATTTACAGTCTAATGGTAGCATTGAACCTGGTACCTCTAGACCTTGAGAAAAATAATTTATTTTTTATATTTTAACTGTTCTATACTTATTAATTTTTTTAAATAATTCAATCACTGAAGTATAGAACAGGAGGGGCTTACTCTATACCTGATGCAGAAAGGGGGTAAACAGCTCCATAATGAAGAAAAAGGAATTATTTTGAAGGCAAATCCCAGTTTAATGCTGGTGTAATTCAGGACTCACTGCAGTGCACTGACCGGTGCAAGCAGGATCAGAATTTGGCTTTATTTCTGTAAAGAGTTTTGGAGCCCAAATTCACGATCCTCAAACATATCTGCGCCTTTTCATAGAGGCAGAAGTTGTTTTAATACACTTTAAGAGGCACACCTCTGATCTTTTTATGCAGCAAATGGAAGCAGCTGCCCTGCTGGAGTCAGCTCTGTGCTACCCTGGGGCAGGGGGAGCAGCAGAAGAGCTGAGCTGTGCTGTGTGCTCTGTGTGCGGCCAGCACAGCTCACTGCATGCTGCCATCTGCACTGCAGCCCTCGAATTCCATCTCATTGATGAGCTGCATGAAAACCAGAGGAGACAAGGCCAAGCCATGGAGCCAAATCCCTGCACTAAGCCAGGGCCCAATCCCAATGTCATCATTCACTGGATTGCTCACGTCCCCAGGGTTACGAGCTCTGAGTTCACCCCCAGCTCCTCTGCTCTCCTGGAACACGAGGCCAAGGCAGCTGGGCTGGCAGCTCTGCATGGCTCACACTGCCATGCCTGTCACAGCAGGTACATCCAGCACGCTCATTTAATCCCCCCAACACCCTCGAGAGCAGGCAGGCGACGTGGCTGGGTGTTCAGTAATGAAATAATCATGAGTGGGGTGCCTGGGGGCAATGCTGATGTGCTCAACACTTTTTGAAGGAGCCCCTCAGCCTAGGGAACATCCCACCTTCAGGCTCCTGTGCAGAATAGCCTGGTGGGGAATCTGACAGGCTGTGGTGAGGGTAAATGCCCAGCTGGGGTTTTTCCCTGTCACTTCTCCAAAAGGCAAACCTTTCCTGGTTGTCTTTGGCATATGGTGCTGGCACGGGGCTGGAACACAGGAGAAGCTGCAAACACTCAGCAGAAAGCCCAGCAAATGAGAGGAGCAGGGAGCACAGGGAGAGGAAAGGGAAGGTGAAGAGCAGAGGGAAAATGCTCAGTGTGTCTCAGTGCTGATGGCTCTTCCCCCAGCAAGGCTGCCTGGAACAGATGGGAAGGGATTCCCTCACATCCCACAAAGGAGGCTGCTGGCAATGCTGCTGCACTTCTGCTCTACAGCTCTGTGCTCCAGCTCCTCTGCTGCTTGTCTGGGACCTGAAATCCCAGCTCACACCTCAGGCACCTCAGTGGATGCATTCCCAAGATTGGGCAGTGTTCCTCTGCAGCCCATCAGTTTTGTTGGGTATAAATATTTACCATGACAGATGAACAGGGGGAATGGCTTTACAGCCTGATGAATCCAATCTTTCCCAGACTGGCATTGCTTCAAAACTCTGAACCAGTGAGACAAAGCATTTTGCACCAAGTGGAACAACTTGGAAGCTGAGACAGAATTTTCTCTTGCTTCTTCTGGGCTTCCTTGAAGTTAGTAATTCACCTGGAAAAATGCAGGTCAAATCCTTGCTTTGAACCAGGCACAGGAGAAGAATTGGTGTCACTGGTGGGATTTCTCCAGTATTTCCTGGCTGAGTCCTGATCCAGGTCTGAAAATGCTCAGCAGAGCAATACAAGCACCAAACACAAAAAGAATCACAGAATATCCTGAGTTAGAAGGTACTCACAAGGATTATTGAGTCCCAACTCCTGGTCCTGCACAGGACAACCCTAAAAACCACACCAAGTGCCTGAGAGCTTTGTCCAAACTCTTCTTGAAATTACTTAAAAGGTTCTTGCCTCTGAGAATCTCTGAGATTTAAATGGGATATTATTTGAGGTGTGTCAAGGCATAAGGGCTTCAATACAAGAAAAGTGGGGAAATTTTGAGCATCCTCTTGTTTTCTCTGCATTTTGGGAATCAGGGAGTTGCATTTTGATGATCTTATGGCACATCAGAGTTGGATCCTCACTGTTGATGTGGGCTCAGTGTAAAGGAGCCATAACAAAGCTGGCTCACACCTGGCCAGCCTGGGGTCACCAGCACTGTAATTCCAGGAATTTTCACATCTTCCTATCCTCTTAAGACCTACAGGCTGGGTCTACACTGTGACAGGGTCTGAGCTGGCTCCCTGCAAACTCAGGACTGCAAGTTTGCCCTTGGTGTATCACAGATCTCAACCCCTTTACTGACTCCAGCATCCCATGCTGTTCTCACAGTCCCACACCTGGAGAAATACTTTGGGAACATCCAGCTCAACTGATAACAGGCTCTGGGAATGGCTATGGCAGGGAACACTGCCCTGTCAGGACTCAGAAAGGATCTGCAGTTCTCCTCCTGGGCTCAGCGTGTTTGTTGGCATCCTTTGCTTAAGGCAAACAACCCCCAAGCCCAGCAGGCTGCAGCTGCTTCCCTCTGCATCTCACAGTGGAGAAATCGAACTGGTAAGCTGAGATCTCTGAACTCTCACAGGGGAGCCCACCTCCCTCTCCAGGTGCCTGTGTTGGTGACCCAGACACTTTTTCACAAGGACATGATTTAGTAGGATGGCAGCAGCCCAGTTACTGAGGGTGCTCATGAGCTGGGCAGGGTTTCCCACCCTCAGCATGAAACTTTTTTAACCTCACTCGATGCAGTTGAGTGGGACACAAACATGAGAATCTGTATCCGTGTATTTTCTGTCTCCTGACTGAGTTTGGGATTCTGGGGTTGCCTCAAATGAGTTAAGACCGGGCTTTAACATTTCTTCTTTGCCTCTCCACCATGAAAACAAGAATTAAAAAAAACCCCTACTGCCTTGGTTTTCATGGGATCTATGTGCATTCTTCAAGTAGGAATTGCCCCTGTATGGAAGCTAACGGGCCTTCAGAAAAGAGGTAAAATGCACACACACACATCTTAAATAGCTAACAGTGTCTTCATATAGGATGAAAGTGCCCCACAAAAGCTGAAGAAGAAATCCATTTAATCGTTCCTTCTCTCCTTCCTCCCTCCCGGAGTGCCAGCTGTGTGCAGAGACAACCTTGTTCTGATGAAAACAATTTTACCTGCTGCTGTGATTTCATCTGGAGAGTGGCTCCTTATGGCAGCTCTGATTCAATTAAGGATTACAGGGCCCTATATTTCCCTTTCCTGACAGTGTGTGCTAAGCAAGTGCAAATGAATTACAGCCCAATTATTTTCCCCTGATCCCTAATAACCCTGGGTGCATCCATGCACCGAGATCTATGGGAGAACTTAAAGAGAATGAAAAAAAAAAAAACCACAGGAGTGCTCTGCTTTTGGCACCTGGCCCTGGTTTTTATACATGCAAATAGAGTTTCCTGTTCATGGAACACAACCAAGCAAAACACCATGTCACCAACACAGTGCAGAGAAGGGTGTCCTCACGCTGACCCTTCTCAGGGATCTGCTCTTCCAAGGGTGCCTGGAAAGCTTCTGCTCCCAAGGGTGGTGGGGAATTAGCAGAACACACTGGGGCATCCTCCGAGGGGCTTTCCTGGTGCTGCAGCTTCATCTCCACCTGTGTAAAACGTGGGGGCCATGTGCTGGCCTCTGCCTTCCTGCTCATGTTCCTCCTGTCCCTTCTCCCTGTGTCCCCAACACTGTCTTTGGTGCTGTATCATCACCTCTTGTCCACAGGAATTTTGGCACATTCATATGTTTGGCTTTTTTTTTTTTTTTCTTTCCTGCTTTCTGCTGCTGTCTCTCCTTTACTGGCTCATTAAAAAAAAAAAAAAAAAAAAAAAAAAAAAAAAAAAAAAAAAAAAAAAAAAAAAAAAAAAAAGAAGTGCAATTTGCCTGTTTCAGAGATGCCAGTTCTGGTAAAACCACCAAGGATTGAGGTTTCCCCTCCCTTACCCCCAGCACTTCATCATTTATGACACAACAGCATCTCCCAGGCTGTCCTCAAGCAACTTGGACAATTCCTCAGAGTCATCAACCCCCGAGGGCTTGAAACTGAAGAGTGAAAGGCCTGAAAAGAGGGAGAGCAAGAGTGTTCCTCTTGGCTTGTCCCATCTCATCCTGGGTGCCAGAGCCTTTTCCAGTTGTGTGTCCTCTGTTGGCTCATGTGGAGCAGGTCATTTCACAGGGGTTTGTCATGGGACCACTGATTCCCGGGGCTCCTCGTGTCTCAGTTTTGGATGCTCAGTGCCTGGGGAGCCTCTCCCCATCACACCAGAGAGAACTCAGCCTGGAAGCCGGAGCAGCGGCGTGTTTTGGGCGAGCACTTGGTCAGCATGGAGATCTGGGTGCTGAAGTTGGTGCCATTGCTGCCCAGGGAAGGGTGGTGGTACTTCATGTCCGAGCCCAGGAACCTCTCCAGGTGCCACCTCCGCCACTTCCTCTTGAGCTCAGCTTGCACCTGGGCGTGGGGAAGACAGAAAAGGCAGCACAGGGCATCACTTGGTGCTGTTCTGGCCTGATGATGTGAGCAGCCATGGGTAACCCACCCACCACGGGGCCAAGGAGAAAAGGAGACTCAGGGGTGACCTTGTCACTCTCTACAGATCCCTGAAAGGTGGCTGTGTCACCTGGGGTTGGTCTCTGTCTCCAGGCAGCACTGACAGAAACAGAGGACACAGCCCTAAGCTGAGACAATAGAAATAGAGGTTGGATATTAGGGAAAAGTTTTTCACAGAAAGAGTGATAAAGTCCTGGAATGGTCTGCCTGGGGAGGTGGTGGAGTCACCATCCCTGGATGTGTTTAATAAAAGCCTGGATGTGGCACTGGGTGCCATGGGTTAGTTGAGGTGTTAGGGCTGGGTTGGACTCGATGATCTTGGAGGTCTCTTCCAACCCAGTGATTCTGTGATTCTATGAATTCTTTGATTCTGTGATTCTGTGAATTCAGTGAAATAATTGCTTTATAAAGGCCACTAATCTTGTCTTGGCCAGAACTTTTAACCACACAAAGGGGACACTCCAGCTGGTAAATTACTGGAGCAGAAATCCCTAAAGGAATTTCTTATTTGTACAGTCAAGGTGCCAGATAACTTAACTTCAATGACAACACTTTGTGAGTATAATTAAGATGCTTTCTTTTTCAGTGCCCTGGTTTTGGTCCAAATAGAAATGATGTAACTACAGCTTGTTTTTAAAGCTGTCAATACAGCTGTGCTTTTTTTGACAGAAGCTGTTTGCTGCTGCTCAGAGAGTTTGCAGAAATAACCTGGTTTACACCATCCCAGTTCAAATCCTGAACAAATCTGGCCACAGTCCTTGTCCCCTCCTGCAGCCCTCCAGTGCAAATTTTATGTAACAGCATGAATTAGGTGAAACAACTGCGACTGAAGGGCTCTGGGCTGAACAAACACAGAAGCAGCACAATCCCAGCATGAGAATGCCAGGACTAAAATATGGGAAAGTCAAGATTAATCCTGGCAGGTAGAAACACATTGACCTGCACTGCTCTGTGCTTAACAAGTCACACCAATGGCTGTGCTGGTTTTAGCAGTGGGTGTGATCCTGGCGAGGATTCCTGGAGGCAATAAACATGAGCAGGGCTTAGATGGGATTTATCCTGCCCTGCTGAAGGTGGTCCCTTGGGATCAGGGATTGTGCAAGTTCACACAGGAGTTCTGCTGATGGTGTTTTATGAGGGAAGGATGGGCTCAGCAGCAACACTACAGTGCACACACAGGTCCTGATGTGTTTAGTAATTGTTTTTATGAATTGTGCTGAAAAGTGTCGGGCGACACTTTTGGTTGAATTGTTTTCCTGGAGAGAGAGATGTGATTTGGATGCTTCCCCCCAGTATTGTAACATCAGGATCAGGAATGGGACACTTCTCAATCCACTCTCCACATGCATTCATTCTGCAAACATTAACCAAAAACCACCGAGGGTCTGTTCTTACCTCTCCATTGAGAAAGCAGTACAGAACAGCCACCACGAATCCCTGGGGAAAGGATAAAACAGGATTTTAGCACTACAGCATTTTAGTAGGAGAGAGTGTAGATCCATTCAGCTTTCAAAGGAGAGATCACACAATCACAGAATTGTTCAGGTGGGAAAAGACCTCTAAAGTCATGAAGCCCAACCATTCCCCCAGCACAGCCAAGTCCACCACTAACCCATGTCCCCAAGTGCCACATCTGCACAGGTTTTGTACACTTCCAGCTGTCAGATATGCAGTGATGAAGATTTAGACAGGGATGTTAATGATTCACCACTGAATGAAACTTGCTGCTCAAAGCCCCATCCACCATGGCCTTGGACATGTCAATAATAAATAAACTGAACTGGGCTGCTTATTTTTCTCCCTTAATATGAAAAAACATAGAGAGACCAATGTACAGCGGAACATTTTCTTCTCATTTCCTAAAATGAGAGAAGAGAATCTCCTTCTGGAAGACAAAATATAAATTTATGTTTCATCCTGGCCAGGCTGGAGTGAGATTTTCCACAAAGATACAAGAGCAGGATGGGGCATGTCCAGGAAAAACCCATGTCCAGCTCATTGCATTTCTCCCTGGTGACAAACCTGGTGATCCAAATGGTGGCTTACCTGGAATGACCCAACCACGAGCTCAAAGACCAGCTTCACTTCTGCTTTGAAATTGTCAGGGAAGAAAGCAAACATGATGTAGTGAATGCCAAAGAGAGGGATCAGCAGCAGAGTGGACTTGGCCAGCCTCCTGTTGGAAAGACAAACATAAGCCACGAGGGGAGAGGGAAGAGGGTAAGAGGCTGAGGAATCCTACAGCTGAGCCCTGTGCAACCCCAAAAATTTATTATTTCTCCTTGTCCCACAGACTGCAGATGGCTGGTGATTTCAGACCTGGTGGCACCATAAAATGTGACGTTTTTATTCCCAGTAGCTCCACTGAAGGTATTTCTTTCTCCCTCCTCTCTTCTTCCCCTCCCACCAGAGATCTTTTTTTCATCTCCACAAGCTAAATCATCATCTAGAAATGTCTTTGTTTGCCTGGGATTTCTGAAAATTACAGCTTCTGGGAGAGAAATAGTATGTTTAGCTTGGAATAATGACAGGCTACTGCACAATGAATGTCTCCAAAGGAGGGGGATGAACAGTATGAGTGCTTAATGGCATCGTGCTGGGTAATCAGAGGTCTAATTAGGAAGAAATGATAATGTATTAAATATAATCATTATTAAAAAGTAGCTGGCAGAAAGAAAATGAAACCAAGGGTCTAAAGATGCTTGTGGGGGTTTTGTCTCCCTTGGTCACTCGTAACCTGTGACATCTCCCCCTCTCTCAGAGGCTTCTGGAGGAAATAAAGCTAAAGCTGGGATGTTGGAAATATTAATTTTCCACCTGCAACCCCTCCAAACCTCATCAGGCTCAGACCTCTCAGCCCATCTTCATTTATTTGCCACCTGCATGAGCCCACAGGGAGGCTGCTGTGGCAGCTTTGTGCAGAGGATGCTCATCCCTGAGCATCCCAGAGCTCCTCTGTAGCTCTCCCTGGGCCTGGCCCAGAGACAGCTCAATTATGGCTGTGATTGGAAGCTGTGGCTCATCCCATGCCAAATGAGATCCCAATCATCCCAGGCAAAATGAGAGCCTGCAGGAAGCTGAGGAGCTTCACAGGAGTTGGCCTTTCCCACATCCCTCACTGGCAGGCACATCCCTGCTCATAGGGATCCAAAATCTAAGTTCTCTTGGATTCCTTGCTCTGTCAGGCAGTGTCCCTGTCCCTGTCACAGGCGCCACTGTCTCTGGTGATCATCAATCAGTGTTCCCTGTTCCTCACTCCCAGAAGCAGCTCTGGCCAATGGGACCCATGGTGGTATCACCAAGCCCTGATCCCCCCAGCTCCTGACATGTGAGAAAGTCACACATTTCCCCAGCATCCAGTGAATATCAACAGTGGATTTGCAGAGACTTCTCTTCTCTCCCCAGTCTCTGAGGAACATCGGCCTAGAGGAGATGTGGTGCTGCCTTTGTGTACCACATTGACAGAGATGCTGTTTGTAACCTCCAGTGGCTTAGAAAATTTTATCTTATCATTGCAGAAAACACTGGGGCCTTAATTACAATATTTTCCCTCCTGGCTGGACTGTGGTAATGGAAAGGACACAAATGACAAAACTTGATCTCCTTCCTCCAATTTACACGCCTCACAGCAGTCTCTTGCTCCCAACACTGAGCTTCACCAGATACTGAATTTTAGATTTTATTTTGGCATCAAGGCAAGGGCTCTGTGATATTTAAAGGACTCCACCACCTAAACTCTGCACTCAGGAAAATCATCACCTGGAAGAAAAATTTCTCCCAGGAACCTCAATCCTGGCTGTGCAGGAGCAGAACTGCTTGGGGGATTGTCTAAAGCTGGTTAAATCTGCTGGAAGCCATGGATTCTCAAAAACCTCATTACTCTCATTCCCAGCACATCCTGGATCTCCCCTCTCTGACAGATACACGTGGTCACAGGTAATTTTGAGAAAACTTGTGTCCATTAACCTGCATGGAACCTTCCCTGTCCTTGGAAGTGGGCAAGAGTGAACCAACATTTCAGTCACGCTCCTTGAAATCAGAGTGGAAAAGCAGCTCAGAGGACTTTGATGAAAATATTGATCCACGGACATGGACAGAATGGGGAGATGAATTATACTCAAGTTTTCTGTTGCAGATGATAAATTCTATTTGCCTGAAATATTGCTGCCCCATTCTTGCACGTGTCCCTGTCATTTCCAGAAAACTGTTTTGGGAGACTCGTTTTTAGAGCTTCCAGCACATGAAAGCCCAGCTCCGTGTGTGCAGCATTAATGAGGGAGTCAGCAGCACACCTCAACTTCCAGCTGGCACTGAAACTCAGACCTTTAGGAGCTGAACAGTGCTGTCAGCATGTCAGCAAGCTGTGTTTGTAGAAAATAAACAATATAAAATACACATGAGAATGAGGGGGAAGTGCAGATGAAATATCCAGGATGCTGTTAGTTTAAAACAGATTTGTCTCAGATTTGGCAGGAGGAACCCACACAGAGTCATTTGGTTGGAAAAGCCCTCCAAACCATTAAGTCCAAGCTGTTCCTGATCCCCACCTTGTCCCCAGCCCAGGGCACTGAGTGCCACCTCCAGCCCTTCCTTGGGCACCTCCAGGGATGGGGAGTCCAAACCTCCATGAACAGCCCCTTACAATGCTTCACAACCCTTTTGGTGAAGAAATTCCTGCTGATGTCCAACCTGAACCTCTCCAGGCACAACTTGAGGCCATTTCCTCTCATCCTGTCCCTTGTTGCCTGGGAGCAGAGCCTGATCCCCACCTGGCTCCAACCTCCTGTCAGGGAGTTGTGGAGAGCAATAAGATCACCCTGAGCCTCCTCTTTTCCAGACTAAACACCCCCAGCTCCCTCAACATTTCAGCAGCAGTTTTTTGCTAAGAACCGTTGGGTCCTGCAGTCAAACCCCAGATGGCTCCACAGATTGTTGTCTAAAAGTAAAAATCTTAGGACCACTCAGAGAAGTTGCCCTGGTGGGATCTAACCTTCAGTTTCACACAATTAATATTTGTTTCCATAGGAAAGTGTGATGTCTTGTTGACTGCAGTGAATACAGTCAAGAGATTTCCAGCTGCCCCAGCCAGATGTGGCTGGGTGACAAGGGGACAAGTGTCCCATAGATCCTGTGTCCTGTGGGACACGTCCATGCAAATACTGGAAATGTCCTAAAACATCTCAAATGGCTTGGAAACCTAAAACTTTAAGGTCAGGTTGGAAGGAGCTCTGAGCAACCTGGGACAGTGGAAGGTGACCCTGCACATGGCAGGGGTTGAAGCTGAATGAACTTTAAGGTCCCTTAAAACCCAAAATTTTGTGGGATTCTCTGGTTCTGTCGTTCTGTCAAGTGAGCAACTGATTCATTCCCTAATGGATCTGAGCTGTCTTTGCAGGTGGTGAAGGAAGGTGAGGATCTGTAGATGTCAGGATCAGCTGTCCTTCAGCAGAACCCCCTGTTGGGAGGTCAGTGAGGGGCACTCTGTGTTTTACCAACATCCCCTACATTTATAAGGCAAAAAGAGCTTTCCTGGCAGCTCCCACCTCACTGGAAAAAGTGTCCTGAGCCCAAAGCCCAGCATGACCTCTGAGATAATCTGGGCACAACTCTTCAGATGCACGTTGGCAGCACTGACGTGAACAGGAGTCAGCAGTGTGTTCACTAGAACACATTTAAATATGCTGATTTAATCTATGCACCTGCTGCAAACCTGGGATGCAAAGATAAAATTCCCAATCCAGAAGAGAAGGTAGTAGAAAGCACAGAGTATGGTAATGTTGGTGTATTGTGATGACAGAAAAATAGGTAATTTGCTTTGGCTGCTGCCAGGAAAATTAAGGTCAAAAACTGGCATTTCCTTTCATAAATCTGAGAATCTCTCGAGGCAGATTAAATGAATAATTCAACGTCACCAGGAGAAAGTCTCAGTGCTGTAGGACAGGATTTAAGGAACATATTGCTATTGTTTTCCATCCTACAGGAAGATGAACTGAGATTTTTCAGGGTACCCAAAAGCACAGCTCCCTCTGAAGACAAAGATTTACGAGCAGTGACCGTGCAGACACTGGACTTTTTTTCATTTAATTCTTTTCTAGGAAATGTTTCATAAATATCCAGGATAGCTGAAAAGCAGAGCCAGAACAGTGGGAAGAGTCAAAAATAATCTTTTATTTTATTTGCATCGAAGCCAGAATAAATCCATGCAGATAGACATTTCTTTCACTCTTAAAATATTGCAGCTGAGACCAGCCTTGGCCACTGAGAGAGATGTTGATCTCTCCTGCATGTTGTTCATTATATAAAGCCCCATTAAGGTCAACCTCATATCCCCGGAATAAAAGCATTAAGTCAAGTAAAACTTCTAAGACAGTGATCCTTCTCAACAGAGAAGAGGAATGAATTGAGTTAATGCAATCTCCTTTAGAGATCTCTTTTAGGATAAGGAAAATTTGTCATAGATCCTACTGAATGCTAATTTTTTAGATCTCTCCTTCTTTAAAACTGAAAGTCAGGAAAAAAAAGGCTGTATACTGTGGAGAGCAACTTTTTTGTTTTCCATCAGGGTCGTTCTGCCTTCAGAATCCAATAAATATGAAATACTTGAAGAAAAATTATATTTTGCTTCATGATCATTATTATTACTCTCGTTTCTTCATCATTAATCCCAGGAGAAATCCCTCTCACCTGCCACAAACTGACACAAAACCTGCCCAGCTGTTTTAGCAAATGCTCCATTTCCTGAGTCCTAATCTGCTTTAAGCAATTAAAATTAATTGATTTTGATCAGCGCAGACAGACGCGATCACGAACCAAGGCGCAATAATGAACTATCAAACAACCAGGCAGGTTTCCCAAAAAACCACAGGATAGGGCTGGAAAAGTCTGGGACTTACGAATATTGGCTGGTTTCGTTGTGCCCAACATCTGGGGAATGCAGCTTCTGGACTAAGATACGGATGATGCAGATGAAGAGGATGAAGTTCACCTGTCGAGATGGGAAGAGAGGGATAAAACATCAGGATTTTTCTCCAGGGAAAAGAGCCCATCACTAGAGGGGAATTCCTCTCCCTGGGATGTTTTTGTCATGGAAGGAGCTGCCAGGGGAATTCCTCTCCCTGGAATGCTTTTGCTGTTTAACAAGCTGTCTTGGGGTTACAGCCTTATGATGCTCGTATTCCCAATGTTCTGTTGGTGTTGAATATTGAGTTCTGCAGCTTTAAGACTGGTTCCAGGAGTGAAGGGGAAGAGAAGAGGTGCAGAGTTCGCTACCAGAGACTGCACTTGCTCCCTGCTTGGATCTGTTCCCTAAAGGAGCCCCATTCAGAGTTTTCCTCCCAAATTTGCCCTAAGCCAGGACACAAGCCATGAGCAGAGAGCCCCTCTCGGGGGCAGGGAGCACACAGAAAACCGACACAGGATGGCATCTTGGGCCTGACATCAGCCTGCTTGGGACTTCGTGTCATACATCCCAAGTATGATGATGTCAAGCCCATCGAGCACAGCTCCGCACGACGTCCGGGAAGGAGCCTTGGGACCCGGCGGTGACACGGCCTGGCTGCTGAGCCTGGAGAGCCAGGGAAACCAAACCACACCAAACCACACCACACCAAACCACACCACACCAAACCACACCACGGGGCAGGATGCACTCCAGCAGGCCTCTGCTCAATCCTATTTGATGCCGTAGGATTTAGCTTTTATAGTTTTCAAGTCCGGCTTTAGTTCTAAAACTCTATAGCCTGTCAGCTGCTGTTCTTCCATTTTATTCAGACAAAACAATTCCTGTCTAGGCCTGAAACTCAAGGACACCTCACTGCCTCAGGCCCCAAAAAATATAAACAAAAGTGAGTTGGGGGGAGAAAACTGGGGATACGAAGCTGCAATTGGAGGATTAACCCCTGGTATGTAAATGGACCAAACTTTCAACTGTATGAAAAACTCGTGACCATTGTCCACCTTGGGTGTAGCCCCTCTCCGAGGCTTTTGACTGCCCAAGGTGCACCTATTGAAGGCTTTTTAATAAACACCCACTTTTATTCTCTTCATCTTGTCTAGCCTCTGTTTCAGGTAGCCACTCCAAGGCATCGTACTGGCCATGTCCTGTCTGGAGACCTTGTGCAGCAAGGGACAGACCTCCTCAAGGCAGTGGAAAACATTCCCTCCTGGCATGTTAGACCAGAGAAGTCTGGCTCATACCCAGATTTTAGGTGGTTCTTTTTCACCCCAAAATCTCACAGTGCTCTACCAATGTACTCAAGCAATGTGAACCTTATTTCATAGCAAAGGTGTAGAGCTGAGAATGGGAATGTCCTGATGGCATGAACTGAATAAAAATCTGCTTCCTTCAAGGTCCTCTCCATTGAGTCATCCTGTTATCCATGCACCACAGACAACAGAAAAGCAATGACAGATTCCTGGAGACTTAGTCCAGTTTTAGATTGGCACGTAACCCCTTTCTTTATCCTTTCATGGTCAGTGAATGTGCAAATGATTCTGATTTTCAGAGGCTCAGCAGCTGGAAGGGATTGTGTTAAACCAGCCAGTCTGATTCCCTGCAAAAATAGATTATAAGATTTCTTCCAGCAATTCCTGCACTTATCACAACAATAGATGAATAAAACAGACTGAAGCCCATCTCTCAAATAGACACTCTTTTTCCAAAGCCTATGAGTGATAGAATATTAATTGCATTTCTTGGTTATGATGCATTGCCTAATCACTTCTTACCTATCCTGAACCATTTATCATAGTTTCTGTTTGTATCTATTTCCTCAAATGAACAGTTTGTGTGTCTGATTTGGTGGCAAGTAAAATTTATTAGTCCAAACCAGTATTATCTAGATCAATTACACTGATGAGCATTGATAACACAAGCTGCTGCAAGGAAGGCAAGAATGGAGCAATTAAATTCTGACTGTGTTGGCTTGGAGCAGTCAAAAGCAAACATGGAGTGGGGTTTGATATATGGGCTTGGTATAACCTTGGAATTCCACGGCAGAAGACAGAGGAATCAGGATATTGGAGAAGTTGTTTAGATTATTTTTTATCCCTAGAGTATAATCAAAGGAAATCAATGTGTTCCCAGTGCTTAACACCTTGTACACAAGATATATCTCATGTACCTCAAAGATCTTATAGATCTTGTCTATTTTCTTGTAGATCTTATATAATAAACTTTCTTTATAGATCTTCTATATCTATTTCTTCCTTACACTCAGATATCAGATGTATTCCCATGGATTTGGGGGAAATGCTGCATTACTCCCTGGAGAAACCTGCTGTTCATCAGCCAGGGGCTATCAGCCCCTTCCTTTAGGACAGATTTATAGGATATCTGCTGAAAGAAAATCAGGAACTGCTGGGCAAATTCTGATTGGCAATGAGGAAAAGATTTATTGGCCAAAAGAAAATACAGACCCATTGATCTGAAGAGAATAAAAGGGTGTGTTTTTTGACTGAAAGCTTATCTCAGGAAAGGGAAAATACTATCTATAGCTTTCCAGGATGATATAAATATTTGGAGATGTGTCATCTAACTACTGTGTTTCTTTGCAGTGAGGTAAACAGAGCAAGATGTCATTATTGAAACCTTCAGTCTGGAATCCCTGCATGATAAATGCCACAGAGAAAAAAAGTCTTCCTGTAAAGGTCATAATGTACATGGAATAAGAAGAATCTCTACAGAAAGATTTCTGTTTAAAAGAGATACATTGGATTTGATTTTTTGCTTTTTTCTGCTTCCCTTCCCACATCCTTGACTTCATTTAAGAAAACTCAAAGTTAAGTTTAACTCCAGTTCATTTGATTTTAAGGTTTGGATCCATGCCCAACAGAGCAACGTTCAACAAGGATGGAAGAACCCAGAATTCCTCAGAAGTGTCCTGGCTTCTGTGGTCAGGATTGATCATATCCAGAGAATAAAAATAAAACGCTTCTGTTGATTTTTCTGGAAATGAGCCAAGCTCCTCTAGAACTTGCTCCAAAAATACACAGCTGGAATGCAACTCTGTACTGGGTGCAAGGGGCAAATTCCTGAGGGAATTCATCTACTCCTTTTTTATCTAAGTGGAGATTCATGGTAGGACTCATCTCACGTTAATTTGCAGTGTTGACATCTACAACTGAACGAGTCATCCTGGCCAGCTTGGAGAAACAAAACCACTCCTAGCCCAGGTCATCTGATGGAATTCAGGTATCCACTGGTTCCTCAGGCAAAATGAGTCTTTCCTGGGTATCCAAGCACATTCCTCAATCTCCTCTCCCATGGCCACTCCACCAAGGAGATGGAGGTGGCCAAAGCTACATCAGGTGAGCTCCACCCTGATGGCCTGGTCACTCAAACTCCTCCCATGGTCAATGCTGCAGCTGAGCTGTTGGATCCCAGAAACCTGGGATTTTTGAGCTTTCTGTGCTTTCTGGCACTGACCCCCAGGAGAACACTGCTTTGGACCTGAGGGCTTGGAGAAGGCTTCCAAAATTGAGTGATGGAGTTAAAATCATGAGTGTGTATTTAAATAGGAGTGTGTGATTTCACACGGTGAAGGGTTTTAAAATTGAGTTTTTATAATACAGCAATAGGTATGGGACAAGATGGAGGATTTTGTGTGCTGTTTCCTTTCTGTTCTTCCTTCTTCTTCATGATTTCAGGCAGTAGTTTCTGGTTGGTCAGTGCTGCACTGAGGGTCACAGGAATTTGGTTATTGGGTTAAAGGTATAAATAATATAGGTATTAATTCTGTATTGGACTGTTTAGCTTTAAGAGACTTTGTAACTAGCTAGGTTGATCTCCACTTTGCTCACTTTTAGCTGGTAGCTGGAAGTGCTGCAGAACTCGCTGTACTTTAGATAAGATTTAATAAACAACCAAGCCTGAACACAAGAAATTCCATCTCCTTTGTGTTTTTTAATCCTGGCTCTGAGTGAAGACAGAAGAAACTTCAGACAAGCCATTGATTAAGTGGTGAAAACACCACCCCGTTACAGTGAGGATGTTTATCTGGAGGAGAATTTCCTCATCTTAAGGCAAATGTTTGATGCACAGTGAGATTTTACCTGGCAGTGCATTTAATGGGCATTTACAGGACACTTCTCAACACCCCTTCACCCCTCCCCACTTAAGACCAAAGATGGCTTTGCAGCCAGCAGAATGTGCTGATACTTTACCAAAATAGACACCAAAATAGGAGTTTTAATGATCCACCAGAATGGGGATTCCACTATTTCCTCCCAGCACCTAAAAAAGAAACAAAGCCAGACTTAAAACATCAAGCACAGCAAGCAAGCAGGTCTGTAACCTTCTCAGCTTTCCCTAAAAGCTAAGTTTTGCTAGGCTGGGTTGTGTGAAGAGGACTAAACCTTGTGTGCATGGACTGAGAATGGCCAAAACTTGCTTTGCAGTGGCTGTGGGCACTGGTAGGTAGCAGATATCCCAGATGTGATGCCAATTTTTTCCCCTTGGCCAAGGAATGGGCTGGAGGATGTTAAGCAGGATGAATGTGGGGGAGGAGGGTGATTTTCTTAAATTTTCCAACACTGAGCTCTGCTGCAAGGAAATTCTATTGAAAGCATGAAAATCGATGAAAATCCATGAAAAGATTCATCAGGGCTCCAGTGCTCTGCACCATCCTGGATGGACTGGCACCAGTAGAAAAAAAAAAATTAAAAAAATCACATACTTCTGAAAAAAATAACATCCAATGGTGGGGTTAGCCCCACTAAATCCAGCAAGCTACCCCTGAGCTATGGATTGAGTTGGAAAAGCCCACAGGGTCCAGGGTGGGATTTATTTCCTCCTGAAGGCAGAGCTGTCTGCACACAGCACTGCTCACCTGGGACTGTGTTTTAAAGAGGAAATGCTGATGTGGAAATGACTGATATTGCTGGGGACACAATTTATCTGCACAGTCAGGTGATGGAAAGTGCATTTGTAGGAAAGCATTCATGGAAATTGGGCTGCTTTCATGTAAGAATAGATGAGTGGAGCCCACTGTAGAAAATTTCACCCAGATTCAGCTCCCCTCATTCCAAATGTTGGCAGTGAAGGCAGCAGGAGGTGAGGAGAGGCACTTCTAGGGCACTTTTAGACCTCCTTAAGCACCAACTTTAGGAGGATAAAAATTGCACTTTATGGACTACACTGAGTAAATCTGCCCTAATTCTACAGGGAGATGGAGCAAACTGCTCACATACAAATGTTTCCAGTCAGGTGTATGCTGCCCTTTCATTTAAAACTAAAGTGGCCCTAATTATGTCTAGTGCACTTCATTTTTGAAATAAATTGAGACAGTCTGAATGAAAGTCAGTTTCGTTGGAAGTTGGAATGTTTAAATAAAGGCTTAGTGTTGTTTAACCAATCTTACCTAATTAGGGTTTATTTAATCTGGATTAATTTCCTGTAATTTTTCTCTGCAGGTAACGAAAAAAAAAATATCTGTGTTAAGTATTAATATATTCTGTAAATTCTTGCTCTGTTTTACTCAGCACAAAAAAAATGTAGGGCTTTAAAGCCCTCAGAAAATGCAAAGAATTCTGTATTTTTATTAAGAATTGTTGGAGCTGAATAGGAATATATAGTAAGAAAAATTGGTATTTAGAATGGTTAAATCCTCCTGTCTCTGTCTCATTGTAGAGGCTATTTATTAACAGAGTAAATAAGGTCAGTTTTATGCAGATAGAGTGAAACCATAAAGGAAGTAAGTAGCCCTCAGGAAATGTGCTGGGGTGACTATAAATCAAAAATGCAGTGAGAAATCTGAGCTGCTTCTTGTACTGAAAAAAGGGCAAATCAGGACACATTTGGAGGGGAAGAATGCACAGGAGAAAATGGACTCAACTCCAGGATGCAAATGCAAGAAGTGAGGGAATGCACACTGAGGATGGAATAAGCACTTGATTCTGCATCTCTCTGGGGTGTTTTCCTATTAAACCCTTTCCAATTAGTGCAGTCTGACCAGTTGAATAAAGGCAAGAATGAGGATTTCAGGATCAAATCCTCTTTACTTGCACATATTCTTGGATAACTCTGGTATCTGCCTCATTTTCTTAGCTTCATTCTATCTGCTTCTCATACAAAATATCAAAGGCTGCTGCTAGGTTAGAAAGGATGAAAAATAGATCCTAAAATCTGCTTGAGAAAAAAAAAAAAGAATTTTTAGCCTTTTCCCGTGGGAGAGAATTGAGTTTATTAACCAATTATTTGGTTTATTATTGGTGTTTATTAATTCCCTGCTGCATGTTTAGTGTCAATTCTGTAGGGTGCAAAGCTCTGCTCTGAGCACGGGGCCAAATCAACACATCAATAATACAAATAATACAAATACAGATGCCCACAAATTCCCTGGAAATATCCTGACTAAGGCACTGGGAAGCAAAGAGGGAGAGTGATTGCCCTAAAATGACATTTCAGGGAGACCTTGGAGCCTTTCCTGGTTCCTGGTGGCAGGGGAGAGGAGAGAGGTGCCACTGCTGCTGGGTTTTGGGTTACTAAAGGGCAGGGCTTTCCTTGGCCATAAAGAAAAGCAGATTTATAAAGGAAAAGATAACTGAGTGCACAGGCTTACCCAACATCGAAAAAGTAAATCCTGACAATGGTCCAGGCAGTGATGAACACGGAGGGGGCACCTGAGGAGAGAACAGATGGTGCTGCTGTCAGAAATCATGATCAAATGGTTACCTGATTTCATCAGCAGATTATTTAAAATCTGCCTCATTTCTCAGGGCTGTTCTCCCTCTCTCTCCTGAGTGACTGAGGGGGTGCCTTCCCCCCGAGGTGGGAAAATACTGCACATTTTCCACCAAGGTTGCCTTTCCCTCCCTGTGCCCATGCAAGATCAGCTCTCTGGAAGTGCCCCCAGCACATTGATTTTCCTGCTGCAGTGCCTAGAAAAAACTTCCAGGGGTGAAAAGAAGGAATAGGGATAGGAATAGGGTTAACTTGAATTAACCTCCAGTGTGGACATAAGGAGGTCACCACAGGACCTCTTCAGCAGAATTATGTTATTCTCACACCAAGGTCATCCAATAGTTAAATGTTTGATTTAGAACAATAAATATGAAATATCCCTGGGCTCTTTTGCCCTGTGAGGGAGCCTGGAGTGCCAGGTTCACACACAGCTGTAGCTGGCCAAGTGAAGCTGTCTCTGCTCCTCCCTCCATGATGTTCCAAATTAGGGTGGTCTTGTCCCATCCTCGTGCTGGCTCTTTCCTCTCTCTTGTCTTTGACTGGATTTAGGTTGGAAATACTCCAGGAAGGACACATCTCTTTGCTCTGTGTTACTCACAGATTATGTATACTTTATTACCAGTGATTTCCAAGTGCTATCATACTAAAGTCAGTAAGAACTGTAATTAGAGCATCCAAATGATTAATTCGTGCACAGTCCATTCCAGATCCATCCCTGATGCTCTTGCAATTGATGGATGACTGAAAGGCCAAAAGTTCCCTCAAGCACTTGCCATGTTCTGGAATTGCTCTTCTGCACCCAAGGAACCTCAGGACACATTAGGAGTGCAAGAAATTTCCTTTGATTTAAATCATTCCCTTTGTGCATTTTTCTTTAAAACCTTCCAGCTCTCCAGTGCTGAAATAAAGAATATCTGGGACACGAGGTGAGTTTGAAGAAGGTCTGACCTGAGGAACTGAACCAAGACCTGCTCCCATCATCATCATCCTGCCCAGAGCACAGAGAATCATCTCTCCTTTGCAGTGTGAGCCCCAGCACAGCTCCTGTCACTTTCTATGGAAATTACTCCTTGGATAATTCATCAAAGCCTGAGCCCAGGCAAATCCCTGGACCTGGCACGATTTTATTTTACCTTTTCTTCTCAAGAGTCTTCCCCGCTCCAATTATTTCTCAGTTTCAGCTATTGAGAGCAGGCAGTAGGAAGTTATTTTCTTACTTAAATATAAATCTTCAACTAAATGGCATGAAAGGAGAAATAAGATCTCTGTTTCCTTTTTGGAGAAAAAAAAGAAGTTGATCTGGTAGGGATTATTTGCTTAAGTTGGCAATTCAGTTGTGAGTTACTTTGTGAAGAGCTTCATTCTCTCTTACCATTTTTCTTATTTTATTTTGTTTTGCTTTGCTCTATTTATTTTACTATATTTTATGTTATTTTATTTTATTTTAATCATATGTTTTTTGGTTTTTTTTAATGTGTTTGAGACTGGATTTGCATTAAGGCTGTAGAAATCAGCAGTGCAGTGAGCAGAAGGTTACCAGCATTAGCACACAGGTGATGGGATGCAGGCTGGCCTGAATTCAGGATCTGGTTCAGTCCAGGAGTTCTCCTTTGCTGGGATCCATCCTTACAATTTATGGTCAATGCATGATATCAAATTTGAGATCCCAGTCAGGATCAAAGAATTCCTTCTCAATACCCAACCTAAATCTACTCTCTGTCAGTTTGAAGCCATTCCCTGTGTCCTCTCCCTCCATGCCTTGTCCCCAGTCCCTCTCCAGCTCTCCTGGAGCCCCTTCAGGCCCTGCCAGGTGCTCTGAGCTCTCCCTGGAGCCTTCTCCTCTCCAGGGGAACATTCCCAGCTCTCCCAGCTCCAAAGCAGAGGAGCTCCAGCCCTGGAGCAGCCCCAGGGCCTCCTCTGGAGTTGCTCCAACCACTCCACATCCTTCTTATTTTGGGGACCCCATGGCTGGATGCCTCTCTGCAGGTGGAATCTCAGATGAGCAAAGCAGAGGGACAGAATCATCTCCCTTGACCTGCTGGTCACATTTTGATGCAGCCCAGAACACAGTTGCATTTTTGGGCACGTTCTGAACTCATGTCCAACCTCTCATCCACCAGAAGCCCCAAATCCTTCTCAGGACTTAGGTGGGCTGGGTGCTGTCTACAACATCTCTGCCCCACCTGAGTGCCCAGGTATCTGTGCTAAATTCCTGATAAAATGCCAGTCAGGATCACAGAATTCACAGAATCACAGGGCTGGAAGAGACCTCGAGATCATTGAGTCCAACCCAGCCCTAACACCTCAACTAACCCATGGCACCCAGTGCCACATCCAGGCTTTTATTAAACACATCCAGGGATGGTGACTCCAGCACCTCCCCGGGCAGACCATTCCAGGACTTTATCACTCTTTCTGTGAAAAACTTTTTCCTAATATCCAACCTCTATTTCCTTTGGTGCAGGTTAAGGCTGTGTCCTCTGGTTCTGTCAGGGCTGCCTGGAGACAGAGACCAACCCCAGCTGACACAGCCACCTTCCAGGAGCTGTAGAGAGTGACAAGGTCACCCCTGAGTCTCCTTTTCTCCAGGATAAACACCCCCAGCTCCCTCAGTTGTTCCTCACAGGGTTTGTGTTCCAAGCCCCTCACCAGCCTCGTTGCCTCCTCTGGAGTTTAGGAGTCCTCCCTAAACTGAGGGGACAGAACTGGACACAGCACTCAAGGTGTGACCTCACCTGTGCTGAGTCCAGGGGAAGAACCTCCCTGCTCCTGCTGGCCACACCATTCCTGATCCAGGCCAGGAGCCATTGGCCTTCTTGGCCACCAGGGCACACTGCTGGCTCCTGTCCTGCTGTCCATCAGTGTCCCCAGGTCCCTTTCTGCCTGGGCACTGTCCAGCCACTCTGTCCCCTGCCTGTAACACTGCAGGGGGTTATTGTGGCCAAAATGGCACTTGGATTTATTAAACTTCACCCTATTGGACTCTGCCCATCCCTCCTGGCACCCATCCTGGAGGAGATACATACCCCAGCCGATCAGGATGTACCACCAGAAGTATTTCCTCTCCGAGAAGAAGGAGATGACCAGCAGGGTGTGAAGGTACAACCCCTCCACCAGCAGCCAGAAGAAGTTGGCCATGACACAGTACTGGAAGAAAACCATCATAGCCTTGCAGCCCACCTGGAAGAGAAGAAATGAAGAGTGGTGAACTGCAGCACATTCCCACAGCAAAGACATTCCTACCAAATTACCAGTGATCCTTGCTCTGGGTGTATCTTTGGGATTGCTTTGTGCAGCACCTGAACTCCTCATGGAATGAATTCTATGGTGAGAAGCCAAGTCTAGAAAAAGTTGGTTCCTCTTTAGGAAAAGAAGGACTGGGATATGTATTTTTAAAATAAAGCATAGGCAGGAGAAGCAGGGTAAGCACACAAAAGCATGCACAGCTTTTATTGCTTCGGAAGGGGAGACATTTGAAAAGAGAAGGTGAATTGTTTACCTTCAGGAAATGAATAATTAAACACAGTAACTTGCTGCGTGGAGATTTCACTGCAGCACAGGTAATGGGAACAGCTCCCTTAGCAAAGAAATAGATATAAATGGAAATTTCTGACACTTAAGGGAAACTTTGCACCCACTGCATCATTACACATCCTCGAGTTGTTGACTCAGCAATTGGCCTGCTGCTTTCAGTGGCTCTGCCTGGCTCTCCCTGCACTTTCTGGGGCAAGTGTTTGCTCTCACTTTCTGGTTGGTGGCACTTTTTTTGGTGTCCTGCATGTGTAGAATGTTTAATTTAGAGCAATAGTTTGCTCCAGTGCCAAGATGCCACTTCCCCTTCTACTGCCCTCCTGCTGAAAGCAGTTGCTATGAAACACTGGCTAAAAGAAGAAGTGTGGAAAGAGTTTTTTCAATGCCACATGTTTTGGGAGGGGCTGTCCCCACCCTCAGCCCTCCCCTCAACTCCTCAGTGTGTGACACTGGGGACCCTGATGGGCTCCTGATGATCAACTGTGCACATCAGCTCCCTCCTGGGAGGCACAGCATAAACACAGACTTGCTGAGGGGCAGTGATGGGCAGGCAGAGCAGGAATTGAACTCCTTTCCAACTCAGAATATCCTGTGTGTGACTTCAGGGACTGCCAGGGAGGGAAGGTGGCACAGGGCTGGGGATGCAGCAGCCTCATCCCCATGGCATCACCACACATTTGGTTTCTCCCCGATTTTGTGGGCAGGTGGCTGTTTGACATTGTCACCCCTCCTTCCCTTCCCCCAAAGCCTGCTTGGTGTGTCTGCAGCCAGCAGGGATGTGTGTGAGGGAATTCCTTTGTGGTTTCACTCTGTTGCTGTTCAGCAGCTCCCAGGTGAGACACGGGGTGTTAGGGACAGATTTGATGCATCTCAACCACCTGCCTGTAAAACAAGGATTTCCTTTGGGGATTCATCACTTCTGGATGGTTGCACAGAACTCGTGGCAGAGGCAGGAGGCTGGAGCACAGCACAAAGGGACTGCAAGGCTTCACAGGACAAGGGAAGGCTGCTCACAAAGAGTGCAATGATTTCTGCCCAGCAGAGACTCTCAAGAAGGGATTTCCAGCCTGACTTTGCAGCTATTGCTGTACAGAGAGAAAGCTGTGCTGAACTCAGGCTGTGGCAGCAGAAACTGCAGATCCAAATCCATCCCCTCTTCTCCCAGTACTGGCAAACATCAATTTTGTGGCAGTCTCTGACCCTAATTCCTCTCTAAAGTGCTGGTGGCTTGTCACAAAGCTGAGGTGGATGATGGTTAGCAGCTGGATCTGATCATCTCCAATGATCAACCCCTAATGATTCTATGGTTTTATTTCTCCATGGGCAGCAGCTGGGTTTTGGCAACTTCTTCTCTGCAGGACCTGCAGCAGATCAATTCTTTGCTCATTGCTGAGGGATATTTGCTTATTTGAGCAGTTCCTGCCTCCCCTGGAATTTTTGGGTTTTACCTGGAGAAAAGACCTTTTTGTGCACCATTTTGAGTGCACGGCAGTAATGTCTTGAAGCCAGGGATCCCCCATGGCACAGGGATGTTCTGCACAGAGTTGGATGCATTGTCCTGTCCTTAAAATTAAATAATGACATTTTTCCACTGTCTGGGCTTGCTACCATTACCTAAAGTGTGTAAGTTTGAAGCAGATATTTCTATGAGAGGGGAAGTTTGATTGTTGATGATTCCATTAATCCTCTTTGACAGTGGCACATTTGAAAAACAGCCCTTCCTGGCTTTTGGGAGACCTTATTCCATGCAGCACCTGGCAATGGGTCTCTAACTTCCTGATTGATTAAATTCAGCCTCAGAGAAGCTGGTTTAATGCTGGGGAATAAAACCCTCTTTTATGTAAGGTATCTTACCCTTTAGATGACAGACACAGGGCAGAGATGAGCCATTACATCTCTAGAATTTATTTTTTTTCATAAAGAGCAGACCTCACGATGTGTCACTGTTCAAAGACTAACATGGGCTATTTTTAGAACAGGCATTTTCAAGAGGAAAAGCTGAATTACATCACTGCTTTTTCTACTCTCTCTTCTTCCACAGGCTCCTTTACAGATTATTTCCTTGTCTTTCTTCCTGCTCTGCTCATGTCCACAGGAGAAGTGGCAGTGAGGTGTTTTTCCCCCTGATTTTGTGGATAGCACATCTGCTCAAGTGGCTCCTCTGTTATTCTTCTATTCAGAGCTGCATCAGACATGTGCCACTTGCTTTTCCCATGAAAATCCCTCCCATTCCACATAGCTGAGCACAGGGAAGGGCTCTGCCTCCAGCCGGAGGCACTGGGCTCTTGACCCCTCCTGACAAACTCTTGGATCCCAACACATTTGTGCTTCTCTGGAAATTCCTCATAGTCAACAAGAAAATTTAATCTTGATTATTGTACAAGTCTGCTTGAGGATGGGGCCTGTCTTAGACCTGCTTTCAAGAGGAAGAGGAAAAGAGAAGGGACTCAAGGGTGGGAACAAGAAGAGTGAGAAACAACCCTGCCAGGCTTTTTACTTGTGCCCAGCAGCACATTTTCCTTTTGAGTAATGTTAGCCCCGAGAAAAACATCTTTCTCTTCATTTCTCAGGTGAGTCAGCTGGTCACTACATCAGCTTTATGGCCCACCTATAAAAATATAGTTCAGATGCTGGAGGCAGTAATCAGCTCAGAGCTGAATGTGCACTAAATATACATATATCATTCTCCTCAGTGGCAGCAACTCTGCTCATTCATAACTCCTGAAGGTTGTCAGTCTGGACCAGCTGATTAATTTCTCAAGCTCAATATGAGCAGCTTAGTTGGACAGGAATTGGTCTGAATTTTTGATCACATCCATGATCACTCTCCTGTGAAGGCAATAAAAAATGAAAAAAGGCAATGATCTCCACAAAAATGACAATACAAGCCTCCCTTGCCTTCTTTAGTAAAGATATGGTTTGTTACAGGTTTAGGATTTGGGTTCAGGAAGGATTTAGACCAAAGAAGCACAAAGAAGCACTTGAGTGATTGATATCCCACCTGCCACAGCTGGACTGGGAATACTGGAGTCTCACTGCTCCAGCCACAAGAATCCCCATCACAAGACCTGACCTGTTCCTTGCCCTGTACAGAATTATGGAATAGTTTGAGTTGGAAAGGACCTTTTAGGGGTCCTGGCCCTGTGTGGCCTGTCCAGTGTATGGACACAACCCCTGTGCAGACCCCAATTCCTCCCTTATACCCATAAACTCTGTGGCTTTCCGTGGTGTGGAAGGTTTGGGACAAGGCACCAAGACATATTTAAGTCAGCTTAAAGATATATTGAAGACTCCCATACAATCCTGGTCAGTGATTCAGCTCCTTCAGTTTTTATGCAGCAAAAATGTGGGCTCAGATTTGCCTCAATCCATCAATCCATAAAACCTTGAGACTTCAAAATCCTCCTTGAAGGTACTTTGGTGCTGTTACCTGGCTACCACCAGCACTGCAGCAGGAAGAGATTTACACTGAGATTCCTGCAGGTCTCTTCCATAAAAGGCTGATAAAAACTCATTTTCCCAGTGACAGATTTATCCAGCACTTTTGTTTTATGTTGCCCAGAAGACATGACCTGTGGGAAGGGCTGCTGACTGCATTTGCACTCAGCAAGAGCTGATCTCCTCCCCAGCCTGGTCAGGGAGGCTTCCTTGACCTTATTTAAAAGCTTTTCATAGATCCCACTCATGACCTGGAAGATGGGATAGCACTGGGCAGGCATTGCCTGCTTTGGAGATGCTGAAATTAAGAATTTCCAGCACAGGGACTGGCCCAACTCTACAGCTCCATAAAGTTCCACTTTAGACACTCATAATCATAATTCAGGAATGCATCACTTTTGAGCTGTTCCCTTCTGTTGAGACATCCACTTTAACCAAACCATAATGAAATCTGTAATAATGATTCAATAACCAAATAATTGCTCTGCTTGTAAGGTTACACAGTGTGATTAATTCCCCATCTCACTATCATGGCACTGGAATTCATGTAAGTGTCTAATTCCCAATAATTTTATAATCTAACTGCTCTGTCCAGGGCTAAAGATGTCCCATTAATTTCTGTACCTGTGGCATGGAGATGTCAGGATGGACTCAGTTTCCAAACATGTTTTCAATTTTCATGGGGGATTTTGCTCTGCTTTTAACTTAACTTTTTGTTCACAGAATCTGAGAACCATTTGGTTTGGAAAAGACTTTTATTATCATTGAGTCCTACTGTAAATCCAGCACTGTCAAGGCCACCACTAAACCGTGTCCCAAAGAGAGAGAGAAAGAGAAAGAAAAAAAGAGAAAGAGAAAGGGAAAAAGAAAAAGAGAAAAAGAAATTAATTTATGTTAGCTTAGGCTTAGCACAGCCGATCTTTTCTGTAACAACAGCAAAAAAACAAATTATAAACAAAAGCCAGACTGCCTGGCAAAAAGCCATCACTTTCATTTCTTCCCTCAGTTTAATTGCAGTTGTAGACAGATTCAAACAAGTGGGCAATAAAAAAAAAAAAGCACAAAGTTTATGTTTGATAATGAACATGAATTGTCTTCAAATACTCAAGTGAGAAAACTCCTCCTAAATGAATTGGGTGCCTTTGCCTCCCTCCTTCCCTGCCTCCCTATCACAGGGTGTGACAAGCAGGGAATTACAAACAATAAATTGC